GGTACTTGAATATAGAAGCATGCCAAGTTTGGGAATTTATTGATATGTGCACAATCACGTGTGAATATTTTAGTACATTTTTACGTGTGGAAGTTGCGATATTTTAACGTGTTAGCACGGATCATGTTTGCATCGGCTATTGAAAATTATAATGATGGAACATGAGTGTTGCTATGTGTGCATGATCATCTAAAGGTTCCTTTCGTGCCCGGTTATATCGGAAAATCATATACCGGATGACCGCCAACCTAGGGTTTGGCCGTGGCCCTAACGGGTGTCCCCAATTTGGTAATTGGAAGCCGTCGCTGGTAGCAGGGGAGACGTAGTCATTCGCGAATTGGATTCGGAATGAACCCATTTATGGGATATGCCGTCATTGTGGTTGGGTGAGACGATGCCGTGCCCGACGGGGCGGGACGATGCCCGGTTATGCCGGAAGACTGCCAACCTGATGCGAATAACGCAGGTTGTGCTGTAGCCCCTGGTGTGGCTGTAGTAATTGGAATACGCGTGAAAAATTGTGGTAGCATTGCGCTTGATTATGGAATGAAATTGTTAGACACGTTATGGGACGGGCCGAAGCGGTTTCACTTTATAATCAGGACACGTGTGAATGCATTGTACTTGAGAAAATTGATGCGTATTCTGATTGTATTATATGCTTATTGCATTATTATGGCATACGGTGAATTATAACGTACAGGGCGTGTGCATGTGCCCAGGGCAAGGTAAGGTTGCCTGTGATTGTGTTGTGAAGTACCTGTATGTTCTATATTGAGTTGTCTGCCACCGATGTATCGTTGCATGTGTTAGGTACATCCGAGATGAGTTGACCTCCTAGTTGAGGCTTAGGTCGTGAACTCGCTGAGATTTATCTCATTCGTTGTTGTTAACCACTTTTCAAGTCATCCGAAATGAGTACACGTACCGTTCCTTGGGAACCGGCTTTTTGAGGGAGAACACTTTTTGAGGTTATCCTCGTAGATAGAGGAGCTAGGTTAACCCGTACCTGTTCTGGTTGTAATCGGGAAGGTCCGCGTGGTGTTCTTGTAATATATTAGCCCGATGTATTGCTGATGATGTTGTTTAAATTGAGGTGTGTTTTCCTGACTATTCATGTTGTTGTGATTGGGAGTTTTTAATTCGCTTCCACATGCGTTTAATCGTTAGTAATTCGATTGGGTCGGCGATGCATCCTGGGACGTCGCATTTATAACGACCTTGGTGGGATGTTAGTGCGCTCGAGCGTCGGGGCGTGACATGTTTGCCATCTTCTTTGGAACTGTATTGAGTTTAAAATGACCTGTACGCCGCTTGCCGTGTTAAATTTTGAATGGCCACTTCGCTGCGTAGGAGAATTACTTCTCCATGATTCTTTGTCTAGTATTTGAAATTTGAGTTATATGTATGTGAGCATCAAGAATGTTGAAGATGGTGAAAAATATAATTTCTGTGTTTTCGATTGATACTTCTTCATATTCACTTAAACTGTGGAAGACTCCCTGTTGATACTTGCTTCTATGTTTCAAACATTATATAGAAGGGAAGTATTTTGCGATGCAGATATAATTGTTACTTTTCGTGGAACAGCGAGCAGGATGTGGATGAAGTACTTGTCACGCCCCGAACCCCAATGAGCTCGCAACATCCTCTGCTCCGGTCAAAATGATGCGACGTCCCAGGAACGTCGCCGACCCAACCCAAACATCAGAGCCACATGCGGAAGCGAATAACAAAACCCCGGACAAATAATGACGACAACGGGGTAGAACAACAGAACAATCCAGCAACCACATATTCATACAACACCAAATATACAAACATCATATTACAGACATAAATACAGACTAACATCCTCAGTCACCGTTTAAACAAAAGTTCAGGGGTTTGGTTATCTTAACTTCACTATCGGATAACCCAAGTTATACAACACCTAAAACACCCTAGGGAAAAACCTAAGGGTCGCCCTCCTCCAGTCTGCTTCTGAATCTCTGGTTTGAATCTCTGGAACTCACCTGCAGCTCCACTGGGCACCAACAGTAGCTCCCCGGACTTCCAAAAAGAAAAGGCGCACTTCCCGGGTTTAGGGCCGGGGGTCTGAAAGTGGCGGTTATACAACCGTGAGACGAATCTCAATAAGTGTACAACCCCAAACCCCACGTAGGCACTCACGTACCGCCAGACGAAAACACACATAACACACAACGATCGGCCAAACTAACAATCACATGCGACCCTACCTGGAATCCATCACGCACGTTCCTGCACGTTAGACAATAACATAGCCAACACATCACAGCAAGGAATCACATACGCGCGCATGCCTCAATTATAAGACAAAAACCACTTGGGCACGTCCCATACCGTGCCTACCAGTTTCTACCCCATAATTACGCATCACATCGCGCGATACAAACACACTCGCACACTTCTCACACCATGTGTCACTTTCCACAATCCTCTCACTTGTCTTGCCAAATCCCACTCATTTTCAACCTTTCCACCACTACCGCGCCCGCGTAAAACGCATCAGGCCAACGGTCTTCTGACCTTGTCAGGCATCGTCACCCCGTCGGGCCGGGCATCGTCACCTCGTCAGGGACGGCATCGTCCCGCGTAAACGTACACGCCTCAGGACGGAATCCTACACACACTTTCCTTCTACCGCGCCCGCGTAAAACGCATCAGGCCAACGGTCTTTTGACCACGTCAGGCATCGACACCCCGTCGGGCCGGGCATCGTCACCTCGTCAGGGACGGCATCGTCCCGCGTAAACGTACACGCCTCAGGACGGATCCTTTCCAACCAATCTCACATTTCCATATCCTCGTTCCACTCAAACCACACTTACACACAACCAGCACACGCACGACCAAACATACACGCCTCACACATACATAGCCACGCACCAAATTCACATCTCACGTACACTTCACAAACACGCATTCTCATCACACGAACACCACATGATCACCCACACTCGGCACACGAACTCAATGCACATTCACATGTCCACGCCACCACACCTCACGGCCACACACACGGCATAGCACCACATCACATTCGGCCCACGCACAAACTAGAACAAGCCAATGACAGCAAACTACATAATTAATCCGATAAACCCAATCAAGCCAATACATTTCCAATTAATCACCCATTTAATTCCCGATCGATCCTCGACATCACAGCCCTAACTCAGCATTCCTAAACCTCGAATTTCGTCGCCCAATCAGCCCACAACCTCCAAACATTCAACCCCTAACTTAGTCCCGAAGACAGTCACAAAACAGCCACAAACAGTCCCTAAAATCACTTAAACCGAACTTCAAACTAGTCTAGAAATACCCGAGGTCCTAAATGACATTTGGGGAAAACACTTACCCAAAAAGGCGAGACAGAACGGGGCTGGAACGGGCCGGGACAGCGGCAGCAGCGTCGCCGGCGATGTACAGACGGCGTGAACAGTGTACCGTACGGACGCGGTGAACAGTACCGTACGGACACTGTACGGGGACGGTACTGGGCGGCGACGTATGGACGTGCTGGACGGCTGGGTGTCGACGGAACAGCGATCGGAGCTCCGGCGGTACTGTTTGCGGAACGGGAAGAGAGAAAGAGAGAGAGAAGGCTGATTCTGGACTATACCCGGGGCTGTGGTGGCTGCACAGAGGTGGAAATGGTTGCTGGTGATGTTGGCTCGGCGGGGGCAGCACCGGCTGGTACTGTTCCGGCGTGAACAGTACCAGAACTTGCAGAACCGTACACGCTAGAACCAGAAACGGAAGAAAAGGGAGAAGAATTTGGGGAAGCTCTCGGCAGAACAGAAAAATGAGAGAGAGAGAGAGAGAGAGAAGACTATCTGGTCAAATGGGTCAAAGTTGGGTCTAAGTGGAGTCCAAGTGTCATTATCTAAGCCCATTGGACACTTTTGCCCTTGATCCAATGGACAAGATTTGATCAAATCCAATAATTTAGGGGTGAAATGGTCTTTTGTCCCTAACCATGGTTGACCAGACCTGGTTTAATCCCAATTAACCTTGGTTAACCCCAAAATTTTGACCAATTTTCGGAATTAAATAAAATGGTCTTAGGGGCATTTTCGTAATTTTCCGATCCCGAACCGAAATTCCAATTTTTGCACATACGTGTTCCATATGTGCGTGGCCAACATAATATGGCGTCGGAATCGCGAAATTCATCGCGCAAGCCCTCGAAAATCCACGTCAAAGTCTCGGGAATAAAATAATATTATTTTTTCAATTTTTGTCGAAATTCCAATTTTTGGCCAAAACCACTCTGAATGTGCGTGGTCACCCCAAAATGACCTTGGCCGCGAAAAATAACCTCAAACGGCCTCCGAATCCAGCCTCGGTGCCCACAGGGGCAAAACCGTAATTTTTCCGGCCTCGGACCGAAATCCATTTTTTTGCAGAAATGGGTGGCCCCAAGGTTGGCCAAGCCAAAAACGTCATCGGCCGTCCAAAATTGTCACTTTCAAAATTCTCGATTCCCGGGCCCGAATTCCAAGAAATGACTAAAATCGAACAATCGCGACTTTAGCTTATCTCTTTCTAACGGGTGGCTCATTGGGATTACGTGCTCTCGACCCGTGACCGACACTAAGTCAAATCACGTTTAAGTTTACTCCACCCGGGACGACCTCGGTTGTCATATAATTGCGAGGGTCTGTCGCTAGTTCCCTTCGGACACGATCAATCAAGTAGACCGGTCTCGGTTGGCTCAAAACATTCCCTCGTCAATCCATATGGTCGAAGATCGAACCCAGGTCGAGTTCTTTGGTCGTGCGAACTCAATCCCGTAACGGCCCTACCCCTAAGGTTAGTATCCGGTGAATGCGCATTTCCGGGTGAGACCTCACTATAGTGCATTGGTCAAATTCATTTCTTAAATCCCGGGAAAAGGATCGAAAATTCAGACTGTTACAGTACTCCAGTCGCATACTGTGTATTCAAACGTTTCAAAAGGAGTTCTTGCCAAGTAAAAAGACCTAATGAAATCCCTTGGGACAGATGATCAGACAAAAATATGTTTGGAGGTCAGTGATATTATATTGTGGATCGTTACAAGGAGAAAATCATGTGTGTACAATTTTCTCTGGGGGTGAATTAGAATAGATGTCTGCAGTTCGCAAGTCTTGCAACTTCTGTTATTTGCATTTATTGCTCATGTAGATTTTGGATAGAGGAGAGCTTCAAGTTGCTGGCAAGGAGAGGGACATCCAATTCGCAAGTCAGTTTCGAGATATTGCCACAATTGTTATGCAGAGGACGATCAATCCTGAAACTCAACGCCCTTATACTATTAGCATGATTGAACGACTAATGCATGAAATTCACTTCGCTGTTGAGCCAAATAGCAACTCAAAGAAGCAGGTATCAAGATATTCAATTTTGATGGACTTATAATAGAAATGTTGTTAAAAAGATGGACTTGCAGAATAATGTTTTGCTTCGGTTAAACTTTAACTTTTAGAATATCATGAACTTGATGTTATAAATGTCTGTTTTCATACTGTATAAGGCCTTGTCATCTTTAGAGTATCATGATATTTTACTGTTGGATTTTCTTATCTTTTCTTTTCTTTTTCCTTGCTTTCTAGTTAAATTTCTATGGTAACTAGCTTTTCCCCGTTGCACATATTTACAGAGGAATTTTTGGACATTTATTGCTTTGAACTGTGTATGCAGAAAATAGCAAGATCGGACATCTATATGCTCATATTAACACAAACGTTTAATAGTACAAAACCTAATGAAGGAATCAATCTTTTGCAGCGCTTCACATCGCTATGTTTAATAAGCTTATATCCTAAATTCTCATGCAGGCACTGGAAGTTATACGTGAACTTCAAAAGCATTTTCCAATAAAAAGAGCTCCTATGAGGCTCAGATTCATCATCACTGAACAGAATGTTTCTTCGCTCGTGGAAAAGCTCAATGCATGGATTGCTAGTATCGTTTCAAGGGATGCATCTGCAAGTGAAATATCTGTTGTAAGTCTTAGACCATTTTCTTGGAAGAGTTGCACTTACACTACATAAGTCGCACATGAAAACATTTCTGAATTCGTGAACTCTGAAATTATGTTCTTCACTTTTGCATGCATTTATTGGATTGACCCCATCACAGAATAAAGTGCATATCTAAGAGTATCTCTAATAGGGTGATTCTTACACACCGACTTTCAACGTTGGATGAGTGTTAAGACGACTTCTTTCTTGTTTGATTATCATTTTTCATTTCCTTTATCCCCCTTTTAGGAGCTTTTTTTTCTCTCATATTAGCTAAGCTCCTGCTTCTGTTAGGGTAGGCTCTTCAATTTACCAGTTTCTCTAATTTTTCTTTGGTGCTGTTCGTAGTTTTCTGCGATGAGAATTAATGACATCTTCTATGTGCATAGATGTTTGGCCGGGGACAATATGCCTCTACGTATATGTACTCCATGAGTCTGGAATTTTCTTGTCAAGTGATGAAGTTTGGACTAATATCCGAAACCCCTCTTTAATGGAAATAAATTGGATCTCTTCTATATTGTTTTCTTGCACCTAGGATGACAAGAAATACATTCTTTTTTATGCATTACAGATCTGCTCTAGATAAGTTGAGATGATGCTGTAAAAATCCTAAGCTAGTGATGCTCTGTGCAATGAGGATTAGTCTTGTGTGTTTAGGTATGATGTGCCTCTGTTTACGAGCACACGCATTTTATGCAGGTATGTGAAATTGAACCAGGATTCTACCGGGACTGTGAAGCCTCGGCAAGAAACTTGCAGGGGAGAGTGGAAGTTCTTGCATATTCAGTGCATGCTGAAGGGGATACCCAAGTGGACCATTATGATGATCACGAGGACATCCCATCCCGGTCTGAACCCGATTCGGTAGTCCAGCTAAGTGAGAGGATGCAGAAACAGACACTCACGTCTAAAAAGGAGAGCACGGAGGAGGAAGTAAAGCAGAACAAGTGCAGCACATGCAATGCGTTGGTAGGGGCCGCAAAGCAGTACAGGGAGCACTTCAAGAGCGACTGGCACAAGCACAATTTGAAGCGGAAGACCGGGTAACTCCCCCCTCTCTCAGCGGAAGAGTGCATGACCGACATGGACTTGGACGACTCGCGAGCAGATTTGAAGGATTACTCATTTTGAGGCTGGTTTTGAAGCTACTGAGGCTTGGTTTTTGTGGAGTCGATGCATGTACCCAAAATATATTTTAGTACAGAGTAAAACTAAGTCTAGTAAGTATTGTGCCCTCCGCTTACTTCTTGGCATATAGTCCTGGGGGCAAGTCAGATGGGTCGAATTTATCAAACATTTGTGTTCACTTTATTCCTTGTTCATCGTGTTCGGTCATCAGTCGATACTCAAGAAGTTGGCCTCGTATTTCTGTAAAAGAGTTGAGCAGAAATTTTCCGAGGAATGTCAAGCGACCTCACCAAGTTCCCGAGGACTTGACGAGTCTCACTGTGCTTTTCCTGTGGCCTTATTCTTTGGTATTCGAAGCCAAATGGATTAGCTTGATGAACAGCATAGTTTGCATACTTAATATTATTATGAAGCCAATCGATCCAATGACACTAGCATACTGAATCAGCCACCAGTGGAATTGATTTTTGATAATTCCTAACTTCTTCTTATCATGAATGCAAGGTTTTATTGAAGAAACAGAAAAGGAAGAAACCAATTTAGTGAAAACGCAAAACTTCATCAGAAGTGCTCCAAGTTTTCCATGACCAGGTTACCTATTGGAAAGACCGTGGAAGAAGTGAATGTTGCGATTCACTTGCTTTGATTGTCGAATTTTCGCGGTTCAATTCAGTTGATGTGTTGATGACATTTGGAGTTGCATTGAATTTTTTAGGGACAATCATAATGCAAGTCCTTGAGACCTAAAAATTTATGTTTCAAGCTTTTAAATCCTAAAACTCGCAACTTTGATGTACTTGAGGCCTCTTTTTAATTCCTTTAAAACGCCTCCATTTAATTATGCTAAAACGAAGTGGACGGAAAATGCCATGCGGGTTATTTTTCATTCTTACGTGGTTCTTGATGAAAAAAATGTCGCTTAAGCTTTCATCTATTAAAAACTAACGGAGCTAATGAAAAGATTAAAGTAGATGATTATGGTAAGTCCTAGGACATTTAAAGTGCGTCAATTGATGATCGGTAAGCTTGCCAACTCAGAAAAGATTAAAGTAATATTCCATCACCAATTTTTAAAATGCGATAGTAAATTGATGATCGGTAAGCTTGCCAAATAGTAATTATAGTGACTGTGCTGGTCCCTAATTTTAATCTGGAGAAGTAATTATAGTTCCTTGATTGAATGCAATTTGCAAGTCCTATTCATAAATTTTAGCATTCGTTTTACTCTATGCTGGCTCTGGAAGTCCTGTGATCAAAACAGGGAGTGTGATCTGTAAATATCTGCATCTTTGTTTGATTTTTTTTTTTGGCGCTTCTTTTGAAAATTAAGGATTTTTCTGTCTGTTGTTCGATGAAGGAATCACTGTGGTTCTTGATTGTGCTATTTCTTCGATCAGTGAATCATACTCAGTTTGATTTCCTTTTCCAGCTGGATGCACCGATGGAAGTTGCATTATATGGGACTTTGAGACCCGGGGCGTCGCAAAAGAGCTCCGTGACAAAGAATGCACTGCTGCAATTACGAGTGTCTGCTGGTCCACATATGGCCACCGCATACTTGTGTCTGCTTCTGATAAATCTCTTATTCTTTGGGATGTTCTAAGTGGAGAGAAGATAGCACATACAACTCTGCAGCATACAGTTCTACAAGCTCGTCTTCATCCTGGTTCCTCGACTCCATCTATTTGCCTGGCCTGCCCTTTCTCATCATCTCCCATGATCGTGGACTTGAACACTGGAAGCACAACAGCTCTTCCAGTTTTGACTGCCGATGTGAGCAACGGAATTGCTCCTCTGCCCCGTAACAAGACATCAGATACATCAGTAACTTACTCTCCGTGCAATGCATGCTTTAACAAGCACGGGGATCTGGTTTATGCAGGAACTTCAAAGGGAGAAATTCTTATAATCGATCACAAGAATGTCAGAGTGTGTGCCATCGTCCTTGTTTCTGGGGGCTCTGTTATAAAAAATGTTGTGTTTAGTAGAAATGGACAGTACATGTTGACAAATTCCAATGACCGGATGATTAGAATCTATAAGAATCTTCTACCTCCTAAATATGGATTAAAGATGCTTGATGAATTGAATGAGAGCTTCAGTGAACCAGGTGATGTGGAGAAATTGAAGGCTGTTGGATCGAAGTGCTTGGAACTTCTCCATAAGTTTCAAGATTCCATCACTAGGGTCCAGTGGAAAGCACCTTGTTTTAGTGGTGATGGAGAGTGGGCGATTGGTGGTGCTGCAAGTAGAGGAGAGCACAAAATTTATATATAGGATAGGGCCGGGCATCTTGTTAAAATTCTTGAAGGCCCAAAAGAAGCATTGATGGATTTGGCATGGCATCCTGTTCATCCGATTATCATTTCTGTTTCTTTGACTGGCTTGGTTTATATATGGGCTAAAGACTATACTGAAAACTGGAGTGCGTTTGCTCCAGATTTCAAAGAGCTTGAGAAGAATGAGGAGTACGTCGAACGAGAAGATGAATTTGATTTGGTGCCTGAAACTGAAAAGGTAAATGAGCAGATTATGAGCTTGGCTTATTTTGCTTGAAAGGTTAACAATTATTGAATGTGTATGCATACAGGTGAAAGAACCAGGTGTTCATGAAGATGATGAAGTTGATGTTCTGACTGTGGAGAGGGATTCAGCTTTTAGTGACTCAGATATGTCCCAGGAGGAACTGTGCTTTTTGCCTGCAGTTCCTTGTCTCGATGGTCCCGAGCAGCAAGACAAGTGTGTTGGCAGTTATTCCAAGTTGCCAGATGGTAACCATTCTGGATCGCCACTTTCAGTAGAGGCTGGTCAGAATGGAAATGGGAGCAACCATAATTCAAGCCCCCTCGAACGTAAGTTTTCTTTTCCCCGCTTGCTGTATTTTCCAAGTGTTCAGATGCTTCCCTTGTACAGCAGACTGGATTTTCCTGTCAATTCCTGCAATATAGCAATTAGGTTGTACCTGTGACTGTTGTTCTTACCTAAAGCAGATGCCTGACTTAATGTCTGCATGATATATTGCTCACCTCTAGATTTGCTTAGCAACTGCTAGGAATCTTGGTAATGCATTTTTTTCTCTGACATGGCATAGAGGCAGAAAAGACTACATTGAGTATGTGTGATGAAAATTTAGCTGACAATATAGGCACACTATTAATGGATGTTACGGAGGAGGGCAAAGGAGAGTCTCGGGAGGAGGGGTAGTAATCAAGTTGCAGGAATCTGTAGATGAAAATTTGATTTCAAAATAAGTGATCAATGGTTTTTAAGCATGTAAAAGGTAAGTGATGCTTAGGCTGTTTTGTGTTCTGTCTCTTGTGGGGAAGTTAATAGATTGTCATTCTCTGAGTTCATGTGTGGCTGAAAGATTTTTCACCTGACTTGTCTGACTTATGCAGCCATGGAGAATTCAACTGCCGAGGACACAGACGGAGCGCGATTAAAAAGAAAACGCAGGCCTTCGGAGAAGGGGCTGGAATTGCAGGCAGAGAAGGTCAAGAAACCTATGAAACCGTCTGGTCGATTGCCGAAAACTAAACAAGCTGTGATTGATCTGGATTCTAGTAATGGTGTATATGGAGACGATGGTTCTGATTGATTCAATCAAATTGCAAATTCTCATTTCATTTTCACCCGCTTGACGCAATGTTTACTGATCTCTACACTAGGCTTTGCTTTGAATGCCGCCTTTACCAGGTTCACTGAAATATTCGAAATCCTTACCGTTTGGTTTGAACGAGGGATGATCTTTTAATTCGTTTTCACCAATAGAACCATGATTACACTTGGTGATTCTCTGGTGATTGGCCAATTTCCTTCTCTTCATCTTGTTTAGTTAAAATTTGCGGGAAGACTTGAAAATATTAAGAAGAAGGGAAATGAAGTTGGAATTGCCTCACTCATCAGTATCAAGAAGAGAGCTTGGATCAATCCTTGAATCCGTTGGATTCCAATTTGCCATCGGTTTACCATTTTTTTGTCAGTTAACGTATGGATTTTGAAGCTCAACGAGGACCAAATTGATCCGTTTTTCTTGTCACATTTCATAAACTCTTTTTTATCACATTCCCCATTTTTGTTCAATATTTTTGTGATGCATGATCATTCGGAGTCACAGAATTACCTTCTCAAAGGTTGAATTACAATTTGTTACATATTATCGATACTTTGGTCGATCGGATAGACTCAATTGACAAAATGTGAAAAAGGTTTAGGAATCGATTGGCAAAATTGGAAGGTTTATGATTGAATGGGTAAAAATATAATAGGTTTTATAATATTTTTGGACAATTTTCGTCGTGATCCTTCTTAATGGGTCAACAAAATCGGCAATCCCTATGGACCCGGCCGGTAGCTGAAAGAGTTTGATTTTTGATTGTTTGAGCTTTAGGATTTATGACTCGACCGCCTTCTACAGAAAAGGATGACCCACTTTGAGCCAATTTCTGCATTGTTTATCTCATCGCCATGGTGAGTATACCAAAGCATTTTCCAATGGGTAATCACTTAATGCATGAAATCACCGAGCGTAATGAACTGCCCTCTCGTGTAGTATAAGTATGAGCAAGCCTGACAGTACATAAATGCAATCACACACAGACACAGACGCACAAGAAACACCTTCTTATCTCCATAGAAAACACACTTCACTCTCCACAATAGCTCGGAAATGGCACGTCCAGGAAAGTGCTTTCTCAATGTCGCGGCGGTGGTGATGATGTTGGTGTTGATTCTTCCATCCTTGAGCTATGCCGCTTCATATAATGTAGGGGACGATTTCGGCTGGTCTTATGATATTGATCTCGATACTTGGGTCGCCGACAAGACTTTCTATGTCAATGATGTTTTAGGTAATCGATTTTGCCGTTGTCATTATAAGAGTAGGAAATGCATGTTCTCACGAATTGGCTGAAGCGGCATGTCTACATATACAATCTGCATGGACATCACTTACCGATGCCGAATGACTACGTGCATGTCGTTTATCATGTATAGTTTGTCCAGATTGTACTTCGATTGTGATTTGGATAAATCGAACAGTCAGTTTCTAAATTGAATAACGGCAATAGGATGAATGGGAGCATGTCGTCATTTCTTTTTTTGTGTTTATGGCTTCGACTGAACCGGTTATAAGCGTTCATGTAAATGGACAGTATTCATCTATGACAACACCGCTCATGACGTGGTCTCTGTTGATGCAAATGGGTACAACACATGCTCGACGAGTACATACTACGGGACCTTTACCAGTGGCCATGACGAGATAACACTGACGAGCGCCGGCACATGGTACTTCATCTGCTCGTATCACTGCGACTTCGCCAACCAGAAGATGGCGGTCCCCGTCTATTCGTCGTGAAGCGATGCCGATGCGGCGGCTGACCAGGGCAAGGATTTCGTCGGTCTTAGCACATGCTGCAGAGTAGATCTCAAGGTGTTTTGACCTGTTTAGTCCTGGCAGTCACTCTCAATGTCTTTTCATTTTGGTGTGTTTACTTTCTTGTTTTCTCATAGTACGAAGTAGGGAAATGAAGTTGGAATTTGTCTCAATAACGAAGGCATGCGATGGCCTCAATAGAATGCTTCGAGTGCTTTGCCTTGTTAATTAAGGATCAGCAAAAGAGGTCTACTTATCCTTGAATCCATTCATTTACAACTTTTTTCCTTTTTATCTCTGGATTTTTGGAGCTCATGTAGCCCATATGTAATAGTCACCTTGTTAAAGATGCCCCTTCACCACCTTGTTCATGAATTTGGCTATGCAAAAGCCATTCACGGTTGCAGAATTGCCTCTCCAATTTAAATCGTAAATTGTCACAAATTTTTGGGGGAAATTATCGAAAAGGTCTTAAATCGCACATGTGTCAATTCAATCCTAAACTTTTCAATTTGCCCAATTTAGTCCTAAACATTTTGACGATTTGCCAATTTAGTCCCGAACCTTTAAATTGTGTCAATTTAGTCCTAAACCTTTTGATAATTTGCCCGCTTGTAATATGGGCCTGCATATTAACTTAGAGTAGTATGCACGCATTTAATTTGTGAAGATCCTGTTTAGTCGCTTATAATCACCATCGTCACCGCATCTGCGCTCGATACTGTGGGCGACCGGAGCGAAGAGCAAGACTAACAATTTCTTCGGGTACTGGGTTGTGAGAAGAACGGGGCAGGGAAGTTTTCCTCCTGAACTTTTCCTCCCTCGCGAACAAAGCATGAATAAGTATTTTTCCTTTTGTCACACCGGTCCGTTTGATAAAACCTCTTTAGGGTGTCCAACTTTTCTGAAAATATACATGTTACAATATTTAACTACCAAATCATGCTTTCATCGAACAAAATCGTTGAATACGTTTGAGAGAAAGATTCTCATCAGGAAATTTCTGCAACTTTGAAAACCATTCTACCCATTTGAAGAGTTGAGGATAAGAAATTTGCTTTTATTTGAATTTCAGCATTTGGGAGAAAGAAGACATATCTGGTTCAACTACAAAATGATATCCAAGAAGATGAAATTCAAACTTCTTGATGTCATATCTTATTACTGTAGCAATGTATTATTCATCAGTACTGTAGCAAGAAGAAAAACGTGCAAGAAGTCTTTTCAAGCCTCTTATTTGCATCCCCATAATATATTTCCACGCCTAGTATTAGGCCAATTTATTGAGCGGAACCTTCAGCTAATTTATTAAGCGGGCCTAGCTCGCTTGTAATATGGGCCCGCATCATTGTGTTGGGCCAGGTCGGGTCGAATATCGTGCTCAGAAAGAATTGATCAATGCAACTCAATCCTTTAAATTCAAATATAAATTGAAAAAAGAAATTATTGCCATTTGGAAGGAGGAAGAGAATCTATTAAGAAAACGATTAGGCTGCGTTTGGTCGACCGGATAAAAGCCAGGATAGGATATATTTTATCCTATCCTGTGTTTGGTGGTGGTCCAGGATATGATAAGGTCGGATATAGACCGGATAAAAAAATCCGGTGGGGGGTGGGATAGACCCGGATAGAATTTCTAATGCCTATTTTTCCAGAAACCCTATACTCCACTCGCCGTCATCTTCATCTCCACACCTTGTGCGCTTTCACCCAAAAAATTTCTCGGCTTTTTTTCCTTCACTGACTCCTCCGGACCCGTGAATAGCCAAAAAAAAAAAATTATCCTATTTGACTTTAAATCCGTAGTCCACCAAACAGTGGACAGGATATGAAGAAATCCCAGGATTTCTTCATATCCTATCCAGTCATATCCTGTTTAGAAATCCGGACGACCAAACGCAGCCTTAGTGGTTACGGAATGGAAATACTTGTGGACATGAAGTAAGATACAGCTTCGACTCTCACTAGATTTAGTGCAAAATAATATCATATTATATTTGGACTTTGCTAGCATAGCATTGTTCGAGCTACCGTCGGGATATCAGTATGTTGCGATGCATAAATTCTTGAAGGAGTGAACCCCACAATAATTTATAATTATTTATTATTTATTTTTTTATGTCCCAAAATATATTGTTATTCTCACAGTAAATTAATGACAGTCACGTAAGCATTTCTATATTCTAATCACCCCTATAGATCTGTCTTCATATCTTATTTCACTTATTGCGGTGATGAAATGAAAGAAGTGATTTGGCAAAAAAACTGACATGTGAACAGATTCTGATTTGAAAATTAAAAAGAAAAAAAAAACAAGAAAAGAAGAGGCCCAACCTCATTCCATTGTGCAGTAAATAAGGGTAAAGGCAAGGACTTGGGCTCTCACTCTCATGCATCGCATTCGAAATTTCAAAAAGTGGCCAATTTCCTCAGATCCCAAAGCCCCAAGCGAGCTTCCCCGAAAGAGGGATGGAGAGTCGACATCGACATTTTCGAAGTGGGGTCACAGCATAAAAATCAAATTTTTTAAGGAAAAAGAAAGCCATAAACTAGTTATTTTCGGGAATAGAATAAAGATTTTTGGATAGAAATTATTTTCGAGAATAAAATAGTTGCGAAACGCACCCTAAAAGCCCGTGACATCGACATGATTCTGTTCTGTTTTGCACCCTAAAAGCCCGGGACATCCACACGATTCTGTTCTGTTTTTCAACCGTTTCCCAATGCAGTCACCCAAAAGAGCAATAAATTCGTTGAGAGAAATAAATTAAAAGGAAGGAAAGAGGGAGAGAGAGAGAGAGATTGCTTTTATTGGCCCCATTTAGCAAATTTCTGGGCATTAAAGGACCTTCCTTTCCTCAGCTGCATAAAGGGTCACTTCATGCTCTTCGCTCCCTCACTCCCAAACTCTCCGTCTCTCTCTCTGTTCCTCTCACTCTTTTTCTTTTTCACTTCGTGTGAGTACCGAGAAGTAGTCTCTCTGCTTCCTGAGGGGGTCTATCAGAACATTTATCCGATAAATCAGACCGACATTGCCATTCCTTCACTTCAATCACTTTACCTTTTTTCTTTTTGCTGGGGCTCTTTTTTGTGTTCAAACGTTCGAAGCAAAGAATAATCCCCATTAGCACTATTTCATCCCACATTTCTGATTCCCCATTACAAACTCAAAGACTGTCCAAACGCTCTCTGTTTCCTAATACTTGGCATTCCTGGGAAGTTTCGGTCACATTACGGAGAGGCTCGCGAGGCTCACCATTTCGATGGCTCCTCTGCTTCTGGTGCTGGTTCTGTGCATACCCACCATGGTTCTTGGTGGTCATGACTATGGGCAAGCTCTGAGCAAGAGCATCCTCTTCTTTGAAGCTCAGAGGTCTGGCCATCTCCCCAGGAACCAGAGGGTCTCCTGGAGGGCCAACTCTGGCCTTAACGATGGCAAAGCCAGCGGAGTAAGTCGCACTTTCTCCTCCTTTTTTGGCTACCCTTATCACCAAATGGCAAAAGAAAAAAGAATTCGACACAATCTGCTAAACGGAACTTGACTGTTTCTTTTTGGACGTTTATTCTCTTTGGGGGGATCTACAGGTGGATCTGGTGGGAGGGTATTATGATGCAGGGGACAACGTGAAGTTTGGGCTGCCAATGGCGTTCACAGTGACGATGATGTCGTGGAGCATACTGGAGTATGGGAAGCAGATGGCCAAGAGCGGCGAGCTTGGCCACGCCATGGAGGCCGTCAAATGGGGCACCGACTACTTCATCAAGGCCCATCCTCATCCCTATGTCCTCTATGGAGAGGTTAGCAAAACTCATTCAGAAACTTCTTCTTTCTTTTCTCAAATGAATCTTCAGTCACAAACTAATCACAAAATCGATGCATGAACAAGTAGGGGCCTCCATCTAGTTTGATAATTACATACATTGATATTGATTATGGGGGTATCTTTCTGCTTTCTCTTTCTCTCTCTCTCTCTCTCCGTCGCTTTCAATGGATTTATCTTGTGCTCTTTCTGTAGGTAAAACAGAGAGCAATTTGGTTTGAACATTATTTTATGAATTAAATGTTGATAACGGTTTCTTTTGATGCGGTTTGGGGAATGCGATATTGGAATTGTCGCTTAGGTGGGGGATGGAAACAGCGACCACTACTGCTGGCAGAGGCCCGAGGACATGACCACCGACAGGAGGGCGTACCGGATCGACCCGAGCAACCCCGGGTCGGACCTCGCCGGGGAGACCGCCGCCGCCATGGCCGCCGCCTCCCTCGTCTTCCGCCGCCACGACCCCGCCTACTCTGCCGAGCTCCTCCGCCATGCCCAACAGGTTTCGCACTAGTTCGATTTACAGAAAGGCATTTTTGAATTGGATGTGGAGCTTGGTCGGTGCGAGCAGACACCTGTTTACTTGCATTCATAGAGATGGACCACCTAGTGACCTAGCTAACTCCTCTACATCACATTGTCCTTGGCCAAGAAAATCTTACTAAAAAAAAAGCTGATTTAAAAGGAACTAATTATTAAATTTAAGGGAAAAAACCACCAAAAACCCTAAACTTTGTCATTTGTGACACATTTACCCCGAACTTTTTTTTGTGACACCAAAAACCCCAAACTTTGCTTTTTGTGATACATTTATCCCAATGTATTTAGTCCATGGGCATTTTCGTCTTTTTTGCTTTTTCTTTTTTTTTTTTTTCTTTTTTTTTCCTTTCCGGCGAGGGGGGCCCTCGCCGGCGTAGAGCGAGGGCGGCCCTCGCCAGATCCGGCGAGGGCGGCCCTCGCCGGCGTCGGGCGAGGTTCGCCCTCGCCCGACTCAGCGAGGTCGACCCTCGCCGGCGCCGGCGAGGGTCGCCCTCGCTCTGGGCGAGCGAGGGCGGCCCTCGCCCGACGCCGGCAAGGGCGGCCCTCGCTCGACGTCGGCGAGGGCGACCCTCGCCAGATCGGGCGAGGGCGACCCTCGCCAGATCCGGCGATGGGCAGTGTTGTAGCAAACGCGGAAAAGCAAACACAGAACACGAGGATTTACGTGGTTCGATCACAACGTGATCTACGTCCACGGGCGAGGTAAGGCAAGATTCCACTATAATCAAAGAGAGTACAGTTTTCAGAAGTCGAAACAACGACAAAAGCTCACGGCTCACAAAACTCTCCGAAAACAAAATTCTCTCTGTATTTCAATGAGAAAACCTAGCCGCGGTATAAATAGTGCTCCCCAAAAAAATTTCCTCGGGGGCGTAGCCCCCGAACCCCTCGAAACATTGGTTCGTTGCTCCAGCTCGGGCGGACCGCCATAGAGATTTGTTCACTTGCTACGAGTTGGGCCTATCGGCCCAACTCTCCGCGTCACGAACTAAATCTCAATTTTTGGGTCGCACAAAAATATGTCGGGTCGGGTGTTGAACCGGATCGAGAACATAAAATTCAAGACATATTTAACAGGCAGCCCTCGCCGGAAAGGGAAAAAAAAAAAAAGCAAAAAAGACGAAAATGCCCATGGACTAAATACATTGGGGTAAATGTGTCACAAAAAGCAAAGTTCGGGGTTTTTGGTGTCACAAAAAAAAGTTTGGGATAAATATGTCACAAATGGCAAAATTTGGGGTTTTTGGTGGTTTTTTCCCTAAATTTAAAAAGCCGCTGGTGAAAATTTAAATCTCCTTATGGTATTCTACCTCAATTAATGCAACATGAGTATCCTTTTTTCCTTTATAGCATGATGTTTCCTTATCCCATCCAAAACATTTCGTACCGGTCGGTTTAAAAATCAAATTCGCAATTATTGATACTATCTTGGCATGTGTATATAGGGTCTAATAAGGGTCTATGCAAATAATCTTAAAAAAAAAAAGGGGGAGACTTTACTTAAAATCGAATTTTAAAAGGAAGTCATTTATTCTAAACTTCAACTTGGATGACAAATTCATAATCGAATTTAAAAAAATTAATTTGGATTTGGGCGTAAAAAGAAATAATTAAAGAACGATGATAAATGGCGGCAATGAAGCTCGGCGTTAGGATTTGGATCTTCTTGGTAAGGCACACAGTATTGCGCCTAGATTTAAATCGTACCGCTGAATCTGGACCGTCCACGTGTACCGATCGAGCGCGACTCCTCGTCCTTCTGCCGTATCTCGTCACGTGAGAGGACACTGTCGGCGTCGGCCAACCTTCTTCCTTTACTAGTTTTTTTATTTTTTATTTTGCATTATTTTGTCCTCTATCTTCTATTAAATTGCAGTAAAAATAAAGAACCCAATCAAAACAACACAAAAAAGAAGAGAACAAGTATCTTAAGAATTCCTATTATGCTAAAAAAAATGTATATAATTTACGTAAATTTTCCTTTTTCCTTTTTCTTTCTTTTTGTTGGGCGAAAAAGGAAAATGACAACGAGACTTTGCTTGGGTGTCTTTTTTTTTTTTGTTTCTTCTTTTTTTTTTCCAGCTATTTGAGTTTGCGGACAAATACAGAGGGAAATACGACGACAGCATCACCCTGGCCCAGAAGTACTATCGATCAGTCAGTGGTTACAACGTGAGTGTCTCGGCATGACTGTCCGTATCAACTGTTCATTTTCCATGTCTAGATACTCGTAGATGCGTATAAAGATGGTGATTAGTTTGAGTCATGTCATAAGTTTCAGGGTTGGTTCATGTTGCATCTGTTTGAGATTTGCTAGCTACAAATGCGCTTGAGATTAACAGTACCTCGCAACGACTCTGTTTATCGAGATCATGTGTTGCGATCGAATCAAAGCCGAGGGTTCGTATGTGCGCGTCGTAAAGAAAGGATTAAGATGGACTTGTTGGTTTTTTTCTTGGGGTGGTGCAGGATGAGCTGTTGTGGGCAGCTGCGTGGCTGTTCCGGGCAACAAACAATCAATATTACTTGGAGTACCTGGGCAAGAATGGCGACTCCCTTGGTGGGACAGGATGGGCCATGACTGAATTCAGCTGGGATGTCAAGTATGCCGGTGTTCAGACGCTTGTGTCGAAGGTCGCTTCTTTTCTTCAATCACAGCACACATCAACCAAATCTCTTATCACTCGCTCGATCACCCATTTTATTCATTCGGCTAGAGACGAAATTGCATATTAACATGTCGGGCTCACCTCGTCTCGTTTAGTTGATCATTGGCATTATAGTTGTCGCATAATGCCAGTGTGGCTCGTCGCCACTCGGCTCTGTGAAGTTCAGTTGCTTATTAATGGGATGTATCCCGATATACGGGAGTTACAGACACAATGGATTAGTTTCTTATCATTCAATCTGCATATTGACGTGCGTAAACTCGCCATAGATCATGTGCGGTTTCTTGGTCGAATTTGATGAAGTCTTGGACTCTTAGTTCAACAAAGGATAAGCTCCGTGAGTTAGTAAAATCGATCTTTGATTTATGATAGGTGATTTTGTAATCATGCGGATTAGATGGTTCCTCTATACTAGGCAACAACATCACTCTGTTGTAGCGGTTTGGATGAGGAAGCTTGACTGGGTTCTTGTGTGTTGCTTCCACTGCAGATTCTGATGCAAGGGAGAGCAGGTCACTATGCACCGGTATTCGAGAGGTACCAGCAGAAGGCGGAGTACTTTATGTGCTCGTGCCTCGGCAGAGGGACTAGGAATGTCCAGAGGACACCCGGCGGTCTCATGTTCCGCCAGCGGGGGAACAACTTACAGTTCGTCACCAGTGCCTCATTCCTGATGACTGTCTATTCCGATTACCTCGCGTCTTCTAGAAGGAACTTGCACTGCTCCTCGGGTGCCATCGCTCCTTCTGCGCTCTTCTCGTTCGCAAAATCACAGGCACGTTAATGATTCCTGACTCTCTCGCGTCTTTTCCTGGTTCAATTTATAGTCTAGTGAATTCATAAGAAATACAATAAGGAACCAGCTAACAAGTGCATCGACGAGATGAAAGGGCAAAGATTCAATCAATTGCTGGAGCATAAATCATTACACTTGCAGGTGGACTATATTCTTGGGGACAACCCAAGAGCAACAAGTTACATGGTGGGGTATGGAACCAACCACCCGAGGCAAGTCCACCACCGGGCTTCTTCGATCGTCTCTTTTAAGGTCAACCCCACATTCGTGAGCTGCCGAGGAGGCTATGCAACCTGGTTCAGCAGAAAGGCCGGCAATCCGAATCTCCTGACTGGTGCAATAGTCGGCGGACCTGATGCCTATGACAATTTTGTAGACCAGAGGAACAACTACGAGCAAACCGAGCCAGCCACATACAACAATGCACCTCTCCTCGGCGTGCTTGCAAGGCTAAGTGGAGGCCACGGCGGATATAACCAGCTTCTTCCAGGTGAATAGATCATGATAATGAATGTTATATCCAAATTTTGTTTTGATTAGAAGCAGCATTTTGGACTAACTCCCTGGTTGTTCATCATTGACTAATAAGCATCTTCGTGCAGTTGAGCTTCCTGCCCTAAAACCGATTGTTTCGCGACCAAATCCAGTCCCAGGTAATTGAATTGTCTATAAATCCAATAACACATTTCTTCTTTTCTGGTGGGAATGTCTACATCTTAGATCCGACTTATATCATTGATACTAATAGGAACAGAACCATTATATCATTTGATTCGTCCATCCTAGAAAAAAAGAGATAAGCAAAAGCTTTACATTAGTGTGCAAAAATGGTGATGACTGGATGAGACATCAATACTCTAAGTTAAAGAGATTCATCGCTGATTCATCGCAAATTTGCGACGGACAAATACCATCCGTTGCAAATTTGCGACGGACAAAGACCGTCCGTCGCAAATTGGTGGCCGGTCGCCGGAACAACAAAAACAGAAAAAAATGTCAATAAAAAAAAATTCGCACCCAACGATGAATCAAAAGGACATGACCATATTAGTTGCATGTTTAGTCACGAAATTAGCTACGATACTTACCGGTGGAAAAGCTTCACCGAGATTGATTTCTGGACGCACGGATTATTGAGAGAAATGATAGAAGGAGAAGGTGAGAGAAAAGCGGGCAACCTGACGAATCACTACTGAGAGAGAGAGAGAATTGACGGGTGGGGTGGGGTGCATATCAAAAAATTAATTTTTCGTCACAAATTAACGACGAACCCTTTTTCGTCGCAAAATCCGTCGCAATTTGCGACGGATAAAATATTCGTCGCGACGGAAAATAAATCCGTCGCAAATTTGCGACGAAAAATTAATCGTCGCAAATTTGCGACGGAACTAGCGACAAGCAACTTTCCGTCGCAAATTTGCGACGGAATTATTTTCCGTCGGAAATTCCGTCGCAAATTCCGTCGCAAATTTGCGACGGATTTATAGTTTGTCGCAAATTAGCGACGAAAATAATCCGTCGCAATAATCATGTTTTTTTGTAGTGAATAGGCACAATGTCAGAACAATATGCACATGGGTACAATGTACCTTAACTGTATACTGTGAGGATCTTGCACGTACGATCTAAACAAGGGTAACTTGAATCTCAAACAGTAAAAGTTCATTGACCGAAATAATTGATATTTCATACTTGATTGGAAATTTTCAAGGGATAAATGTAATTTCTATCAAACTTCCAATAATTTCTTGTTAGTAATTTCATTTGATCATATGATTAATAACTTTCTAAACGCGTTAATAAATCATGAATTTAGAGTCGAGATATAGGACAACGTATCACTCAAACTCGACCTTTACAAGAGCTAAAGCTTGGCCCTCTATTTAACATCAACTCGAGCTACTTGAGGTCGACCCAGCTACGTGCTTAACGGCTTGATTTGATCATAATTGAAGCTCAAGTTAAGCTATAACTTCAGACTCGGCTCGAACTTGAGTGTACAGCATTTGAATGACACGGTTTTCACGTTTCCCGTACTTCTCCAATAGGATCCAGCGAGGCAAAGCTCGAGTTCACGCCTTACAATGCTTGAGGTCGGCCCATTCTCAGCTCGACTTGACAAAAACTGACGGAGACAAGGCTAAATAAGCTCCCCGCACATAGATTTGCCAATGCATGCCCTTGTGTTTAACGAACTTGGACTTATGTCACTAAGTTGCATTATCTCTCCAAGATCATTGGGTGAGGAAGATCTCATGATCCTTAATGGGTCGGCAAAATCCACAATCCCTATCTCATCGCCATGGTGAGTTTACCAAAGCATTTTCCAATGGGTAATCACTTCATGCATGGAATCACCAAGCATAACGAACCACCCTCTCATATAGTATATATATGTGAGCAAGCCTAACAATCCACAAATGCAAGCACATGCGAACACACGTACACACACAAACGATCTCCTTATCTCCATAGAAAACACGCTTCACTCTGCACAATAGCTCGGAAATGGCACGTCTCGGAAAGTGCTTTGTCAATGTCGCAACAGTGGTGATGACGTTGGTGCTGATTCTTCCGTCCTCGAGCTATGCCGCTACGTATTATGTAGGGGACCAGGATGGCTGGACTTATGATGTTGACTTCAACTCCTGGGTTGCCGGCAAGACTTTCTATGTCGGTGATGTTTTAGGTAATCAAGTTTACCGAAGTAGTGATAAGAGTAGGAAATGCATTTGAGCATGCATGCGCTAAAGCAGCATATCTACATGAACATCACTTACTAATGCCTAACGATCATCATGTATGATCTGTTGAGATTCGACTTCTATTCAGATTTGGGTAGATGGGAAAGCCTTTTTCTCATCTCAAAAATAGCGATAGTACTCGTAGGAGTGTTGTTATTTCCCGTTGTGCTTACTACTTGGACCGAATTGATTCTGAGGATTAATGTAATTGGCAGTTTTCATCTATGACAACACCCAGCATAACGTGTTCTCAGTCGATGCAAATGGGTACAACACATGCTCAACGAACAAGTATTACGGGAGCTATGCTAGTGGCAACGACCAGATAACACTGACTGCGGCGGGCGACTGGTACTTCATTTGTTCGTATCACTGCAATTACGCTAGCCAGAAGGTTGCAATCACTGCCTATTCATCGTGAAGTGACGTCAATGTGGTCTACCGAGGCAGGATTTCACGGGTCTTAGCACCCGCTACACAGTAGATCTCAAGGTGTTTTGGTCTGTTTAGTATTGGCAGTTACTCTCAAGGCCTTTCATTTTGGTGTGTTTACTTTCTGGTTTTCTCATAGTATGAAGAAGGGAAATGAGGTTGGAAATTGTCTCAATAACTAAGGCATGTAATGGCCTCAATAAAATGGTTTGAGTGCTTTGCCTTATTAATTAAGGATCAATAAGAGAGGTCCACTTATTCTTTGAACCCCCTGGTTACCTGCTTCTTCCTTTCTATATATCTGGATTTCGAAGCTCATGGAGAACTGAGACAAATCCTTCTTTCTAATTTTTTACATTCCAGGAACATTTTAGTCGAAAATATCAGATATTCACCATGTTAAAGATGCCCTTCACATCCTTCTTCATGGTTTCGGCTATGAAAAGCCATTTGGGGTTACAGAAGTGCCTCTCGCAATTAAATCATATATTCTGACGTAGTTTTGGTTCTTTTTACATTGATCGAGTTAGAAATGCTTGAATGAGGTGAAGCCAGGGGAATTTGAACAAAGTGCCTTATGTCGATCCAGTGCTTATGTTCCATTTGGAGTGACTTTCATTGTTTCAAATTTTGAGATTTTCATAGTTTTGCTTCTACTTATCCACAGTAAAATCAGATTTGACGAAAGAGATGGCGAACTCGTTCAGCCAATTCTTAATATAGGTCGTTCAATGTCACCTTCTTCGTTCAAATTTACTAAAAATCACCCAAAAAATCAAACATGAGATTTATTCCACAAACTGGACGATAGATTTCACTTCATGAGGAAGCTGATGATGACATGTAAGTAAATTTCTTTTATTCGAGGATGATATGTTGTTGATAAATGCTAGTTCTTTTCTCTTGTGGAAGATCCATATTTGTAGGACAAATAGGCCCCGAGAGCTACAATCACCACAATTGCCACCCCCATGTTCACAACCAGTTGCCTGTCTTCGTTCGAACCTCTGGTCAGCCCCTTCACTGCCCTCTTCACAGCACCCACCAAATCCTCGGTTTCAGTCACTTTCTTGCCTGAGATGGCTTTTGGAATGCCAAGCTTTTGTGCATCATCATCTAATCTGGCCTCGATGTTATTCTTCCTCGAAACCTCTATCTCTCCGTTCTTCTGCACATTGTCCTCATTCTGTGATGATGTTTTGTTTCCCTTATCATGTGCAGTCTGTTGATATTTGGGTTTCTCGATCGTCTGCGATTCATTGGCAGGTCTATCGCCCTTGTCCTTTGCTCCAATTCCCGAGCCTTCATCGACTCTATATGCAGCACGGTCCGAAATCGCATTCGTTGCAGCTTCTTTAGGCTTGACCCGGCTTGCATTCTGTGATGTTGGGTCACTGGAGGAGGCTTTTGGAGGGGCATCTTCTAGACCCTTTTGATGTTTTGGCTGATCAACGGCTTCCTTCGCGCCAGCGACCGCCTTGTCTTCGCTCTTCTTCTTTCCGATGTCATCGCTTGAAGTGGTCTTTGGGGGAACATTTTGTTGACCAACCTTAGGAGATTTTGGCTCTTTTTCAGTGCTCAAAGATTGTTTCGGAGTCCTCACTTGGGGTGGTGCTTCTTTAGGAGGGACTTGCGTGACGGTTTTCTTTGGCAGAGTTAAGACGAGAGTTCCGTGCTCGAACTTGCCCCTGATCTCGCCCGGCTTGCAATTCTCCGGGACACGGAATTCCGTGCCGAAACGGCTGAATTTGTCGGGCCCCAGAGGACGCTCTCCACAGACTTTCACAGTTGGCGGTCGCTCATTATATGTGACCCTGATTTGCTCCTTCGCAAAACCTGTGCATCAACATATTCGCATACGATGTGAAAAGGCCGAATTTCGAGTTATCATGTTGGTGACGAGGATTACATCATGGTCGGCTGAACCAATTGCGCTAGATGGAAACTCAGGACATGTCTTGATATCAAGAAATTATGACGCACGTACTAAACTGAATCGAACCGCAAAACATAATGCAACTTTGATTCTGGGATCGGGCGAAGCAAGAAAAGGGAGGAGACGAAATGTTGATGGAGAAACAAGGATGATACCAAGAAGAAAAAGGAAGAGATACGCCAAACCTGGAAGAGAAACGCTCAAGAAATTCGCAGTCGGTTCTTCCCGCCACTCGAACTTGGGCTCAAAATCCTCGTACACGGGACAGCCCAACGCTTGCGCCATCCGGCCAGCAACAGTCCTGGATGTTCTCGGCCCTGTCGCCATTAACGTGCCTTGTATTTTCTTCCTCCTCCTTAACTATTGATCGGATATAGTTATTCGTAGTGCGTCTTTTGCTTGATCGCAAGATAGACATTTTGCCCGGCGCTGTTGGTCCGTATATATAGTCTTCGACGATGGTATTGGTAATGCCCGCGGCGTACGAAGGCTTCTTGCGTTTTGTGTCTGATACGTGAGATTATTCCTTGTTGATTGCTGTGGTCCATCTCTTTGTTGATGTTTTTGGAGTCTGTTTCGTCGTAAATGTCCTCACGACGAAATATAATTCCCCGAAAGTAGTTCTTTGGCTCTTAATGAAAGGAGACTGAGTTCTAGATCTAATTCCGGACAGGAGCAATCCAGGCGTGAATAAGGAACTTGATTTATATAGAAAATCTAGACGAATCCATCCAATTGCTAGTGGCGTCTGA